TCGGTACCGCCCCCGCCGGCGCCACCGGGCTTTCCGGGTCGCCCCTCCCGCCGCCTCTATCGCCGCCGCTCCGCTTTCGCAGAGGGCAGGCCGAGAAGGGGCACCCTGCTAGGAAGCGCCCCCCCGACCCCAGCCACTCGCCGCTACACGGCTCCAGCTGAGGCTGCATAGCACGGGGCGGCGCCGGTTCTTTTGTGATACTGTCAAGGTTCCCTCTAGGGCTAAACGGATCGGGGGACGGGGGGGGGGGTTATCTTGTGGTCTTGCTTCCACAGCCCTGGCATCCTTACGGCTGTCCATTGGCGGCGCAGAAGGGACCGACACGGCTGCTGCTGTGGTTGCTGGGTAACGGAATTTTGCGTTTGTTTCAGGGAAGCTTTCGGCATGCGGTGGCCCCGCTCCGCTCTGCAGCTCCTCGCGGCTGCCCGCGGCCTGCAGGGCTCCCCAGCTCTTCGGGCGCTGGCTGCTATGGCGTCTTGTAGGTTTTTCGAGCTCTGGCTTTGTCACGATACGGGCTCCGGGGTTCTGGGTACCGGCAGCTCCCTACCGGCGCTTCTGGGTTTGGGCGCGCGCAGTTTTGCACCGGCATTTCCGGCGTCGCGCTCCGCTTGACTTCCGGCTCCTGCCTGCGCGCCGAAGCTGGAAGTGGGCGTGCCAGGCGCATCCATGGTGATGAGGAGCGTGTAACAAAGCCGTGGTTTTTGCAGCCGGTGCGCAGGCGGTCCCGGGCACTCCGAGTATGCACCCGGCGGCGATAGCGGTGGTTGAGGCGCTCGCGGCACGGGCGAACCCGCGCGTGGTGTAAACGCTGCCGGCGCTGCCGGAGGTGGGAGAGCTCCGACGGATAACGGCCGACCCCCGCCTCGGTTTCTCGCCCGTCTTACGGCGGCGGTGGTGTGAGGCGGCCCACGGCCCCGTGCGCCAGCGGCTCTACGCGTGGCACGAGCGGGCACGGGTGGCGCCGGGAGGGCTCCGGCGGTGGGGCTGTCGGCTTCTCTTCCGGCTTCTGGCGCTGCGATGCTTCTGGGATCAGGTGGGCGCCCGGGAGGGAGTGCCGGGCGCAATGCAGGCACGACTTTGGCCCCTATCCCCACTTGCCCGATGCGGCATCTTCTCTCCTGCGGGCTGCCCCCCGAGCTTCGCCTTTTTGGGATGTTTTGGCAGGCTACACTGGAGGCGCACGGGCTCCGCCATCTTGAGCGGGAGCAGCTTCTGCGCCACCTGGCGACCGCCATCTTGGAGCTTTCCGGCGTGCTGTGGCCGCGGCGTTTCCAGTGCCGTCCCTGCTCCGCTCGGCTTCTAACGGCCCCGGCAAGTCTGAAACAAGCTTCCACGGCTTTATAACATCTGCAGTGTCCACAGCCGCTTTTTAAGCCTGTTGCTCATGCTTTATTCTCCGTTAAAGTAAAAAAAGGCTTCTTATTTGGGCTTTCTTCCAGCGAAAACCACTCTTCCGTGTCTTTGGCACTGTTTTCTATTTACAGGGATATATACAAAGGAATCTGGATTTGAACGAAATATATATACAAAGGAATATGTGTTTGTTATTCCACCACAAACAGCTCTGCTCATGTATTTTTGCAACTTTCCATTGCTGGGCAGCTTTACCTCCACACCTCGCTTTCTCAGCTTTCTTTTGCTGCTTGGACAGGCTGCGCGTGCTGTCCTCTGTCTCCCCCGGTCTGCTCGTGGGATGGCTGTGTGCTCACACGGGGCACCACATGTTACACGCAGTTGTAAGTTGGAGACGGATTCACAAATCAAGTCTGATAGAATGTGAGACAAACAAAAGGTTTATTGTTCAGAACCCACCTTTATAGGGGGTTCAAAATTCCCATGCCTGGACAACTGATTGGTTGAAGTTTCAGCACTACGCAGCTCCCTAACCAGTGATAACATCTGCTTTCAAGATTGAAAAATACTGCTTGGGATGCTCTACTTGAATTCAAATTTATCCTGTCATTGCTCACCCGGGCACTTGTTTATCAAACTAGGAGAGCCAAACTGGGTTTCTTTTTTATTTGTTTGCCCAGCTACAGTCCACCTGTATGCTATAACATAAAATCATCCTTCCCTGTCTCAGCAGGGTCTAATACCTTATTTTTGTAACTCCAGGTGCCACAGGGTCACCCTGCTATGATGGGGATTTCTGCACCTGGATTTATTCCAGATCCTCACTTTTTCCCTTTTTCCAGTTTGTTCCAGATGCTCCTAGCTGTAAGAGCCAGGTCAAGCTTTTCTCTTACCAGATGGGACACAGAAAGAGACAACCTTACCTTTTCTGGCTAATGATAAACTGCAGGGATTGTCCTCCCTGCCAGATACCTAACCAGCACTGTGAAAAATAGGGATGGATCCCCATGGCATAACATGATCTTCTCAAGGCTGCTGGGATCTCTGCCCCCTTTGAGCTCTGTGAAACCTCTGACTGCTCGCTTCCTCTTCAGCCCGCAGGAAAAATTACTCGGGCTTGGATTACCAGAAGAATCCTCCACCTCTAAGCATTTGGGAAATGGGTGGATTTGGCAACTCTGCCCTGGGAGAATTGTTCCAGATTATGATGATTGATAGATTGCGTTTGTGGGATAGAGAGGGAAGTGCCCCTCTTTTCTGGGGTATTTTATTATATAAATAAAAACATACACAAAATACAGGAGCCCCAAGATGAGATTTCCGGAAAAGCTTTATATCTGGTTGCACATCCAAAAGCATCTACACAGCTGCTGTCTGCTCAGCAAAGGCACTGCTGGAAGTGCCACCACAGGCATGTCACACCCCTGTGCAGTTTAAACCCCAAAGGTACCAGATCCCTCCAAAGCCATGGGTGCAGCAGCTGGTGCTGAGTGTGGCTAGACTGTTTCAGAAGCCCATGTTGCCCTCTTTTGTCCTCTGGTTGCTACCCACAGGAGCTCAGGGACCACACCAGCCAGTGTGGATGGATGGATGGATGATGGATGATGGATGGATGGATGGATGATGGATGATGGATGGATGGATGATGGATGGATGGATGGATGGATGGATGGATGGATGGATGGATGGATGGATGGATGGATGGATGGAGACTCCCTCAAGTGTTGCAGAAAGAAGCCCTCACAAAATTTGGAAAGAGGTGAGTCAGCCTGTGCCTCCCTTTTTGCACACTGAACAAAATTACAGAATCCCAGAATGGTTTGTAGGCGACCCACCCCTGTCATGGGCAGGGGTACCTTCATTATCCCAGGCTGCTCCAAGCCCTGTCCAGCCTGGCCTTGGACTCTTCCAGGGATCCAGGGGTAGCCACTGCTGCTTTGGGCACCCCATGCCAGGGCCTCCCCAGCCTCACACTGAAGAATTTCTTAGAGTATCCTATCTAACCCTGCCCCATCAGTGTGAAGCCATTCCTCCTTGTCCTGTCACTCCAGGCCCTTATAAATAGTCTTTCTCCATCTGTTTTGCAGACTTTGCTCAGGTACTGGAAAGGGCCTCAGAGCATCTCATCTCCAGGCTGAATAATCCCAGTTCTCTCAGCCTTTCCTTGTACAAGAGGTGTTCTGTCCTTCTGATCATCCTAGTGGCCTCCTCAACTTCCCACCTTCCTCCTTTATCTTCTGTCCCTCTTCCTAGAAGGCGAAATAAATAAATACCTAAAGGGATGCTGAGAAGATGGACTGCACAGTGGTGCTGAGCAATAGGACGAGCGGCAACAGGCACAAATTCATGCCCAGGAAGTTCGATCTGAACATGAGGAAGAACTTCTTCATTGTGCAGTGACCAAGCACTTGAACAGGTTGTCCAGAGGTATTGAGCTTTCATTGTTGGAGATCATTGCTGTAGATATTCCAAAACTGTGTGGAGGCAGTCCTGCACAATCCGTTCAAATCTTTTGAATTTGAACCTATTATGCCTTGTTGTAAGACGACAAGGGGGAATGTGTTCAATTTGAAAGAGTAGGGTTAGATGGGATATTGGGAAGAAATTCCTCCCATTGAGGGTGGGGAGGCCCTGGCACAGGTTGCCCAAAGTAGCAGTGGCTGCCCCTGGATTCCTGAAAAGTGTCAAAGCCAGGATGGACGTGACTTGGAGCCACCTGGGCTAGTGGAAGTTGTCCCTGCTCATGGCAGGGGGTGGGACAGGATTGTGATAAATGTAACCTTGGATAAAAATTCGTGAAAGAATAAATAAGTATATAACTGTATTTGTAACAATGTAGAAATTATATAAAATATAGTGTGGCCTAAGGATTTCTCCCCAAACCCAGCAGTAACTACCCATTCAGCCGGTAACGACCCTAGGCAACGTTTATCAGCCTGAAAGAAAGAGCAGGCTGAGATGCCCATCGGCTCCACACCTGGACACTCCACCCTGAGAGTCCAACCTAAGATACAATCAGGAAGCACTCAGAACCTTTCACATGCGAAAGGACTCTGCCCAGTCGTCTATTGATTCAGTTCCACGGTTCCAGGAAATTCATTCAACCAACCATCTAAACTCTTTGTTGAACAGTAACTGCTCAGAGTTTTGGCCTCGGGACACAAAATCCCTATAAAAACCTCGGACAGTCTACCCTCCTTCGTGGATTTGGGTAAATGTACCTCTGGGTATAGACCCCTGTCCACCCAGCGCTGTGCCGATTTATTTTATTGTGGTTTTTTTTTTTCCTCTCGTTGCTGGTGCTTGAAATTATTTTTTAATAAATCGCTTTTTTATTAACCCTATTTTGCCACTGCATTTATAACAGGATGGTCTTTAAGGTCCCTTCCCACCCAAACCATTCTGGGATTCTGTGCCATGTACTCTGGAATAACCCTACTGGAGCAGGAAGGCCGGACCAGACGAATCCCTGTGGTCCCTTCCAGTCTGTCCCATTCCGGAACTCCCTGAAATGCGGGATAAACTCCACAAAAGGCATTTCCGGGACATTTTCCCGCAGCACCACCCCACGTGACCGCGCCTCCCACGTGGCCACCACCCGCAGTTCTCCTTCGGGTCAGACCGCGCGGCGCCGCTTCCGTTTCCGGCGTGGCCCGGCCCGTCATGGCGGCGCCCAGCGAGGCGCGGGAGCGGCGGCCTTTCGGGAGGCGGCTCCTCACTGACCCCGCCCGGCTTTTCCAGCACAACGCCTGGTGCGTGAGGGCTGCCGCCGTTGCCCGCTCCAGACCCCCGTGAGCAGCCGGGGTGCTGCTACCCTGTGGTGCCGCCCCGCGCCCGGCAGTGGGGTGGGGGTGGCCGGGGCGGGCTCGCCGTCGCCTCTCCGGTTTGCGGTGTCTGTGGCCAAACGCTGTGTAATGGGCCAGCCCCAACCAGCCCCCAACCACTCCGCCTCACGAGGCCCTGACCGCGGTGTCCGCCCTCCTCTCCGGACGGGCCTTGAGAGACCATTAGGGCGCCGAGCGGGCTGAGGGAGCGGTGGATGTAGGGCTGGTGGCCGGACAGCAACTGCAGGCGGGCGGGGACCGACATCCCCGGGCAGGGCACTACCCTATGCGGCCGGTGCTTGGGAGTGCTGGTTCCCGGGGATCCTGAGCGTTCGGGACTGATCCCCAGAGGGTCCTGAGCACTTAGGATGGCTCTCTGTGGGGTTCTGAGCCTTGGGGACTGATCTCCTGGGAGGTCCTGAACCTTTGGGATTGATCCCTAGGGTGTCCTGAGCCTTCAGGACTGATCGACAGGGATTCTCAGCCATTCTCAGCCCCTCCTGAAGCAGTAGCATTCCTCAGGGTCCTGTGGTTGTAGCAATTGTTTTATTGCTGTGGTTAATAAAGGTTAATTACCTGCTGTCAGAAATCTATAACCTGTCATTCCTTCAGTGATGTTGTGCCAGGTGTATGCTTGGAACAGGAACACTTTATTTGGATACAGAAGTTGTTTTAAGTCAGTTAAACACCCGGGTTCTCTAATTTGCTGGGAACTGAAGGTATTTTGCATTTTGCAGGTAAATTGATCCACTCTTTTTTTTGACTTGGTCTCTGGCTGCTATACATTGTTAAGATTTGTGTGTGTCTAATTTGTAATTAAGTAATATTTATATGTGTCAGCCTGTCATTCCTTCTGGGACTATTCTATACAAAAGGTACGTTACAAAAGCATATCTTTAGTTTTCCTGTGGAAATTCTTAGTCTTTTTTTTCACAGACTTAACATTTAAGCCTTTGTTTTGTGAGTTAAAATCAAAAGACTAATTCCTTCTGAGACAAGAACTGCTTCTTGGGCCTTGTAGTCTGCTTATCATTCACTCGTTTTAATGAAAAAAAGCGAAGTGAATCGCTTTAATGACTACATAGCTGTGTATGTGCATTGAAGTTATTAATAATTCTTAATGCTTTAAAGCTTACTGCGTATTTTTCTTATAATTTGATTTAATTTAACAGTTACCTTCCAAATAACCCAAATGCAGTTTTTGTTTTAACTTAAAAAGATGATGTAGTTTTGTGCTGAGTCCCTCATGGTTTTAGCAAGGATCTATTATCTTTAAATTTGACTGAGCATCCAAAATGGGACAGATTTGGGATTCGTTCTGTTTGCAATTCCATGAGTACCTTTAGGACTAGGACCTGTATGTGCTGACTCAGTTGTTGTGCTGGTGCTGGGCTGGAATTTGGGATCACACCTGCACCCCTGTCTATTTGGAGGGCTCTCTAGACCTTTCTCTTTCCCTCTGTCTTTGTCCTACTACGCTTAGCTCTATTTCATCTTGTTTTTCACAACAGGGATAATGTGGAATGGTCAGAAGAGCAGGAAGCCAGTGCCAGGAGTAAAGTTCAAGAGAACAGCTCACAGCTATTGCCGCAAGATAAACAAGGTACTTTCGGAGAGTGTCGTCATTCGAGTAGTGGCTTTGTGCCAGGAATGGAACAGTCTGGCCGGAACCACATCAGAACATCATCAATTCCTCCCCTTCCCCCTTTCCCAGTCACTCAGAAGGCATTAACACGTGCTTGATATGGGAAATTGAGGAGAAGGAACCTTTCTGTCCTTAATTTACCTTTCTGTGACTTTTCAACCTTCACTGGAGTCTCCTCCTGCTTGGGAGGAGTCAGATTAGGTTGAGCTTCTTTGTCATGTTGAGTATGTTAAATACTTGTTAGTGTTTGTTGTCAACAAACCTCTTTGAGTGTAGAGTTGTTACCTCTGCTTATTTCTGCTCTTTAAAGCATAACTGCTAGTAGCCAGTCTCTTTTTGCAGGCTTGCTATGGAGTGAGCCCTGATCCAAGCTGATTTTCTCTTATAAGGGTCTGATAAAGTAGTGTCCATATCTGTCTCTACAGAGTGAACAAACTGCATGAGAACAATTTCATTAGAGAAAGAAAGCTTCCTTTATCTTGATTGTTTATCCTCAGATAGACAGCCAAGAGATTCCAGAGCTTTTATTTGATTTAAAGGATATTTATCAATCCAAAATGCAGAGCTTACCTGTCTCTGAATCAAGCTTAAGGTGCTCAGCTCTGTGGTTAAGTCATGGTTGAAGCTATTCTGAGATGGTTAATAATGCATTTCCTCCACACCTGGTAGAGATAATCTAGTCCCTCAAATGATGGTGAAATGGTTCTTTGGTGTGATAAGAACTTGTCTGATGATGTTCTTGTTATACCCTGCCAAGCTCTAGGGTGGGTCTGCTCCTTTTGTTCAAATTAAATCAAGTGCGTCACCCCTAAGATGATACTGAGCACTACTGGAACTATTGAGACACTTCCATATAGCTTCGAGTGTTCACAATAGCAAATTTAACTACACCAAAGAGTAATCCTCCTAATTTCTTGGACTCCTAGAAGTATCCAGCAGTGTTCCATTGTGATGCCCATTGTGTTGAGTTCATTTTAAAATCTGGTTAGCATTAAAGGGTGCTGTCTGCCATGCTTTGAGAACCTATATACAACAAGGAAATTGTGAAGCAATTCACAATTTGAATTTGAAAAAAAAAAAAAAAAGGCTGTTGGAGCAGTTTGTCAGAGCTCCATGATGTATTTCCCAGATTGAACAATGGAGGCCAGTCAAATGTTGATGGTTGCTATTCACTGGGAAGCATGTGGAGACAATGTGATGTCTGGAAAGTTAGGAAAGCAGCCCAGGCAGATGTGCCTGGAGGGTCTGGTAGTTTGAGAATTAAGATGTCCGGAGAAGAACAAAGGCAGAGTTGTGGTCGTTATGGCTGTATTATTCTGTGGACTTCTTGGGGATGTCAGGATTTATTCTGAAGAAGGAAGGAAGCTCTGTGAGTATGTGGAAGATGTGTCTTCTGGCTGGGAAAAGAAAGAAAGAAGTCCATGTTTCTTGGTTTCCTTTTGAGGCTCCATCATTAGCCCCTGTGCAATTCAGGAGGTCCACAATTCCCTTCTGGTCTTTGTGAACAGTTACTTTTGTTTGTTCTTCTTTTGCAGAGTGAAGGGGTGAGTATGGGCTTGGCTTTGGGGGTGTGCTTACAAAGGTGAGCAGAAACTCAGGAGTCCTTATCAGGAAAGTCTCTGGAGGAATCTGGCTTGCACACCAATGGCACTGTGCACTAATACCCCAAAAAGGGACTGAAATAAGTATGATGTGAACTTTTCTGGCTAGAAGTCTTACTGAAAAATGAACATGGTCATATTATTGCTTAAATCTGTTTCTTGTATGATCTTCGTCAGCCGGCCCTTGATTTTTTGTATTTGTATTGTTACTGATCCTTCATTCAGGGCTTTGAAAGCACCAGGCTCCAAGGTAAATGAGCTTTAAATAAGGCTTCCCCACATGTGGTTTGGAGTGTAACAGCTCTTCAATAGCATTCAACAGAATTTCACACTAATGTAACAAAGGAAGAGCACAATGTCTTGTTCACCAGTGTATTGTAGCAAAAATGTGGGCAATTCAAAAAGGCTGGGCTGGAATTTCGTCCCAGCATCTCAGGTAAGCATTCCACTGCAGTCAGGCTGTCATGGGATTGGTGGAGATAAGCAGGAATCAGGATTTGTGTTTTTGTTAGGTGAAAGAGCGTTGCAGCCCCAGAAGCCTTGCTTGTAAATGTGAGAAAGTTCAGGACAGAGCATGCCAGGGTTTGGATCAACAGCACTTCTTCCAGCATCAGCAGTCATTGACTTCTTCCATGCAAACAGTGAACTGACCTCGCCCTGCTGGCTGTGAGATCATGGCACAAACTTACTGCTTGTGTCTAATACTAGTCATTAAAGTTTCCTTCAGCTTGGGGTCTAAGAACCAGGCTTCTTAAAAGGAGAAAATCCTTGTAGTTGACTTAAAGAGATTATTTTTATATATAGCTCTTTGTGCTGCAGGGATAGATCCTACTAAAAATAGACATATGACTGATTGGTGCTTCTTTGTTAAAGCAATTTTTGTCTATATTTGACTGAGGCTACATATTTTTCCAGGTGTTCTGAGTTCACTTTATTGTCTCACTTTGAAACAGTTTTATGTTCTTCAGGAAGACTGATAAATGAACAGCAGTTCAGCCAATAATGCCCTCCAGTCATTTTTATTCAGTAATGCACTTGTTGCCATGCAAAGATGATTCAGGCATTATTGGTTATTGGAATGCAATTGGAGTTTCTGGCCATGGATGTGAATGTCTCTAGGTGATTCCAAGCATAAAATGCTATGATTAGGTGTTAATTCCCAGGACAGAGAACTTATCACATTGATGAAGTCATAGAAAGTTGCTTAGATTTGCAGCTTCCCATGGAAGAAATAGGTCCCTTAGACTGTACTTGATCTGAAATCTGTGAAAGTGTGTGGAAATAAGTTTGCAGGTGACTCAAATTTCACTTGATTATGGCTTTGTAAGAGCTGTTCCAGCTCCCTGTAATACTCATCTTGCTCCTGGAATGACCCATTTGATGTGAAAGTGCTGCTGCTCAATTTAATTCTGTTCATCTTTAGCCTCTCCACTTTAGCTCTCCACTGGTACTTTAATGCAGTGGTCACAGTTGACTCCCCTCTTTTGTTTTAGTTCATAAATATGTGATGCTCTGACATTCACAGAACTATGGAAAACGAAGTTATCTGGACTGGACTCCAGCAAAACATGGAATTCATGCTGTACTGCTACCTGGAGGGTTGCATAAATTCTAACTGAACTTCCTGCCAGGCCTGCAGAGTTGACTAATTTTTCTGTTTCTACACCTGAAAATAGGAGCAGTGTGTTGGACAGAAGCTTTCAACTACAGGCAGCTCTCACAAAATTCCTTGGGAGTTGTGCTTGACACTTAATTTGGAGTCACCAGACTCCAAATTAATTGTTCCAGTGAACTGAACAAGTTAGTGTTAGAGATGGAAGTAAAACCTGGATTTCTTCATTCCAGTCTCCTTCAAAGACACTTTTTCTGTTGCCAGCTTCCTTTAAATCCTACCTTGGGACAGAATTTCTTCTTCTCTCTTTTCCCTTTTTAAGTCCTAACAAAGTGACTGTGACATAGGCTGAGTGTTTATGTGGGATTGGGACTTTAAATAAAGGTGGTTTTCAGTCAATCTCACTTGTTACAGCAGGTTGCTGCAGATATCTGCAGTGATCCCTCACTCTCTGAACTGTTTAAACCCTGAGACCTTCTGATTTGATGCCTGGTGATATTTTTGCTTGTGTTCACAGAGGAATACGAGGTGAATGCTAAGAAATACTGGGATGACTTCTATAAAATCCACGAAAATGGCTTCTTCAAGGACAGGCACTGGCTGTTCACTGAATTTCCTGAGCTGGCAACTAACAGGAGCTCAAGCCAAAATGTAGATTCTGGGAGTGGATTTAGTAACACAGAAGAATCCAACAATGAAGGGCTGAGAAGCTGTGAAAATGGCCATTGCTCATTGGAAACCAGGACAGAGAGTCAGTTAAACCTGATAAAAAGCCCACCTGGGGGCCACACGGAAGAGTTGGCTGCACAGAAAGACAGTGAGCTGAGTCAGAGTGGTGGGGATTACCCAGGATTAGCTGCATCTTACCGTATATTAGAGGTAAGAGGTATAAATCAAAGTCACACATCAAAGCCTCCCTTGTGTCAGTGTGACTGGGACATAAAAATGTGTATCACTGCCAAACAGCAAGGGAGCAGATGATTGCCTTCAGTCAGTAAAATGCAAAAATCAGAGGGTAGTTTAGAGCTGAACTAAATCTGTTTGGATTCCTTTGGTTCAGACTCTGAATTGGCAGAGCACAGGGACCATAAGAAGTTTACAAATTTGAAAGCCAAACTATTGCTATCAGATGTTCAAACAAGCATTTAAAAGTCAGCTTTTGAAGAAGCTGATTCTTCTACTCTGTATAAAGCTTTCCCTTGTCATTTATCTTTTGCATGTTTGTGCTGACTCCTGTTTGCCTTGGGAGTTGTGAAACAAAGCGATGAAGCCAAGAATGTAAAGATGCTCTTTACATTCCTTAGAGCTTAAGGGTTGGTTCCTTAGAGCCCTTATGGTAACAGGGAATCCCAGACTGATACAGGCTTTGTTCCAGAAAAGTTTGTGGAAGTTATAAATATTGGACTGCTGACAGCTGATTGTGACCTTTTGCTCTGCCACCTCTACTTGTTCACTGTAGATATTACTGGATTTGTTTAATACTTAGTATTATATGAAAGTCCTGCCCTTCCAGGGAGGGTTAGTATGAACTGTCCTGATTTTTGAATTTAATCTGACACTTTAAAGATTTCCTCAGACTTTGGTGTTCTCAAAGTGCCTTTCCTATGTCACGTGAGCACTTTAACTAACATCTGTTACTGCAAACCCTCTGTGGTGTTTTCTGCTCAGTCTGTTTCAATTTTACTGATCCTTTAAACATTCCGAGGCAAATTCCCCAAACCCAGTTGTGTGAGCCATCATCTCTTCAAATGGGAACAAGCAGAAAGAAAAGTAAACTTCTCTGTTGCTCTGATTTTCAATGGACTTGAATGTAACTCATCCATGGTCTTTGCCAGTGCTTCAGGGACTCATACTGATTGTTATGCTTGGGTTTCCAGCAAAAACAGCTTTCTAAAGAGTAACAACATATTGCTTGTTTTAAGATTTCGACAAGAACTTGCTTAGTGGTTTCCCACTCATGTAATCCTGTTCCTCAGACCTTAACATGCTCAGATCTTGCAGGGACACTTAAGAATGGTCACTGCCATGCTCAGCTTTACTCATGTGTTGCTCTTTGTTCCTTGGCTGTAGAGAGATGATTGAAAATAATTTGCATGGACATGCTGAAGGAATTATTTTCACTGTATAACTCTGCTTTGTTTTTGCAGGTTGGCTGTGGGGCTGGGAATACAGTCTTCCCAATTTTACAAACCAACAAGTAAGTAGTGACAAGACAAGAAGAAATTGTTTCCCACTGCCAGAGGGCAGGGATAAGTGGGATATTGGGAAGGAATTGTTCCTTGTGAGGGTGGGGAGGTCCTGGCATGGGTTGCCCAGAAAAGCTGTGTCTGCCCCATTCCTGGAAGTGTCCGAGGTCAGATTAGACAGGGCTTGAAGCACCTTGGTCTAGTGGAAGGTGTCCCTGCCCATGCTAGGGGTGGGACTGGATGATCTTTAATGTTCCTCCCAACCCAAACCATTCTGGGATTCTTTGAAGTAATTCTCAGTAGGCTTTTATCTGCATCAAATACCAGCTTCTGTAAAAACAATTGGAAAAATTTTCCCTGTCTTCCTAGTTTAGACAATCTCAGAGAAAAGCCAAAAGCAAATGGTATCATCTGCAATTTTAGGTTATTGTATTTTGAGCTTGGAAGCCCTTGGTTTTAGATACAGAAAGAAAAGGAAGCAGTCAGTTCCGCATGAGAATAATGGGCATAAAGGAGCAATGGAATCCACCAGATTTTGCACAGAAACTAAAGCCCAGAATTTCTGGGCTTTGTGCATTTGAAACACTCCTTAATTCCTCTGTATAAATTACGAGTTTCTTTCATTTATTGCAGTGACCCAGGCCTTTTTGTTTATTGCTGTGATTTTTCTACAACAGCTGTGCATCTTGTCCAGGTAATCTCAGTGATGACTCATGAAAATGTGGGAAGTATCGGAGTCTAATTGCCCATTAACACAAATATATCCCAGCTGCCAGTGGCTCTCTGGCTGTGCTGGCAGCTTTCTGGTTTTAGGCAGCCCTGGTGCTGACCCTTGCATTGGGAAATCTGAAAAATGAGCCATCAAAGATTGTAGAAACTCGGGAAGTAAAAGTTCCCTATGTCACATAATGATGTCACATTGGCAGCAAACAAGTCAGCCAGCTTTTCTTCCCCTGTGGTTGGCAGTCCTTTTCTCAATACAGTGTTCTTTTAGCTGAGTAACTAGAAAACAAACACGAAACTTGGACACATTCAGGCTATTTTTTAACAGGAATTGAAGCTGGTTTTGGTTTGTGTGTCTTACTGTCACCACAGTTCTGGGAACATGGTCTGATTGCTTCTGCGCAGGCAGCTGAGGAAAGATCATGTTTGTGGAGCAGGAGGCTGGGATTTAGTCAAAGGACAAATATCACTAATAAATTTCAGGTCAAGACAGAACTGAGAATATATGAAGTATCAAATGCAATCAGTCACTTCCTGAGATGAGAGGGGAGCATAGCACCAGAGTCAGCATCCATTTCCTCCTCTGGATGTGACACAAACATTGTTTGTAGAGCTGCAGCTTCTAGAAGAATATGCAACTTCTAAAATACATCTATATCTGATTTTTACGACTGTAACTTTAGGCAACCAAGTTTGATTTTTGGGGTATAGGGAATACCTGCTTGTAGGTGAAATGAATATTGATTTCAGTGTTGCAGAAAGGTGGCCTGACACTCTCACTTATGTAAAGGTTTCCAATTCATTAGTATAAATGTCTCACTTCTTACCACTGTTAGTGGAAATTCTGACCTCAGGATTGCGGTATCAGTTTGGTGGGTTTTTTCAGTGCTGATTGTCTGATTGTAACAAGACCAAAGCTCCTTGTAAATCTCCCATAAATATTTTTTCACATTTCACACATGTTCCTTGCCTGACCAAGGAATATACCTGACACGGAAGTCCAATGAGGCTGAAACAGATTTCTGGACACACCTCTTCATAATGCAATAGTTAAAATACGCCTTATAATATTAATAATACATATAGTCCAGCTAATACTGAGATCAGGGTCTGCTATTAATGTTCTTAATTTCTTTCCCTCAAATACAGAACAATGCAGAATATGATGCTTCTCGCTGTTTTGCATTTGTCCATGACCTGTGCAATGACCAAAGTCCCTTCCCAATGCCAGAAGAGAGTCTTGACATTGTTATTCTTATCTTTGTCCTCTCAGCAATTCTCCCAGAGAAGTAAGTTTTAATAATTACTTCTGATTGCAGAAGATAACTCTTCTACAACTGGAGTTCTCTAGTAATCTCCAGTCAAGGAAAATCAAAGTTTGTTCTGTTTGTGGTCCAGTTTTCCATGAAGCCTTAGGAAATTAAATTTGCAGGTATTTGCTTTTGCTGTTGTAACCAATTTTGGCAGAGGACAGGATGATTTTAAGTGGCTGCAGGTGATCGTTGCTGTAGTCACTGTCCTGAGCCCCAGCCACACTGAGCACTCACTTTGGAAAGTATTCTGCTGGATTTTCAGGCTCGGAGGGTAGATGAATTTCTCACATGGGAGGTGGCAAGAAAGAAGGGTTCAGGTTCATAAAAAAGGTAAGGAAAGTGCTGTGGTCTTAGTGTGATAGTTGTTACAACCTACGCTAGTCTCTTTTTTTGTTCCTTTTAGTTTTACTTCACAACACTTACTTCACAACACTTCTCCTCAAGTTCACTTATTACTTGTTTTACAGAAACCAGTGGAGATTGTTTTGTAATTAGTAAGAGAGAGCAGTTAATCCCTGCTCTGGCAGGATGTTATCCTTGTAGAAAAAAAACCAAAATTGGGGAATGTCAAAAAATAGAGGCCGAATAAAATCAACCCAGCTGACTCTGGGAGAGCTCAGAATGCTGCGGACTTTGGATAGCTCTTTATGTGAAGTTGGAACATGCAAAACTTTATTTCATCTTTTTGGAAGGAGCCAAGCATGATTTTGCAGTGTGTTGAGAGCTCCTGGTTTGTTCTTCTTTCAGGATGCAGTGCATTGTGACCAGACTGAGTCGTCTTCTGAAACCAGGGGGAATGATCTTGTTACGAGATTACGGTCGTTATGATCTCGCCCAACTTCGATTTAAGAAAGGTATTTCCATTCCCCTGGGAACTCCTGCCCCATCACTAGTAGATTCTGCAGCTCGTGAATTCCCCAAAGCACTGTGTGTACTGTTGTTGGATGGCAATTGTTGATTTTTAATTGATCACTGGTAATTGTTCACATCCATCTTGCCCCTAGGTCAATGTCTGTCTGATAACTTCTATGTGAGAGGTGATGGCACTAGAGTCTACTTCTTCACACAAGGTAGGGGGCCAGAAACATGCCTCTGAGCATTGAAAAACATCCTTCTGATTCTCCTTACCACTTCTTGTCCCTGTGCCCTCCAGTTTGGCCACTAGATCTCTCCAGCCTCTTAACTGGAGCATTGTGAAATGTTAAGTGATTCCCAATTAAACAGTGACCTGGGCTTGTCAGCTCCTGATGCAAGCATGGCCTGGTCAATTCCTTAGTGGAAAATATTTTAAGAGGAAGACTGGTGTGGTTGCCACCCTGGGAGGGGTGGGACTGGGGGAGCCATCCTTGTATATTGGATGCAGATGATGGAGGGGGATGGATACCACTTAGCAGAACTTCACTTAATTTTCCTGCTCTCCGATAAGGAAATCAGAAGGGTGTGGTTCAACATGGAGCTAAGGCAGCCCCTCCAGTTCTGCTGCTGCTTGGTGTTAGCAGCAGTTGTTATTCTCCCAGTTTATCACCAGCTGCGTCTCCAATCCCTCCACTGCAGACCCCTGTGCAAAGTCAGTTCTAGAGCAGTGGCACAACTGAACTGTTCCCCACTGCATGAGTCTTGTTTGGCACAACAAAATTAGTGTTTAACGCGTGTTTGGCAAACACCTCACAATGGAAGGCATCTGATAAAAGAGCACAAGCTGAGACCTGTCAGACTTTTCCTACTTAAACTACAGACAAACCATATGCTCTGGGAGTAAGCTCTGCTGCTCAGCAAGACTGGGGCACTGTGAGACTTACTTGCTTGGTCAGGAATATCTGCCAATGGAATTGCTGAAGCCTTGAGGGCTCTTAGAACTTTAATTGGGCCCCAACAGGGTGTGGGTTTTTAAGGATTTTTTTTTTTCCAAATTTAACCTTAATGAATCCCATTCTCCTCCAGTCTAGGCACCACAGATCTTACTGCCACTATTTAAAAGCATAGGTCTGATCCTGGTCTTTGCTCTTGCAGACTCTGAAATTCCTCTGGGCAGGGGGGAAGGAATGGCTCTGTCCCAGCTTGCCAGAAGATGCCCCTTAATTGGTTACTAGAAGCAGTACCCATATTTGAAACTGCTCCTGTTTTCTTTGTCAAGTGTCTGTAGTTCTAGATGAACTCCAAATAATTCTTTCCTTTGCTAGAAGGAAAACTTGAAACACTCCCCTAGTAAAGTAGTTAAGTCTTGTTTGTTCATTTCCCTGCTAGGGTGAGACTGTGGGTTTCCTCTGGCCCATCTTTCAGCTTAGCTTAGCCTTCAGTGTGAGCAGGTATCAGTTAAAGAAAAGCTATGGTCTCCTCAGTCTCCTTCTCTCTGCTTCCAGATGAATTAGATCATCTGTTCACCACAGCTGGACTGGAGAAAATCCAGAATCTGGTTGATCGGCGATTGCAAGTGAACCGTGGGAAACAGATGACGATGTATCGGGTGTGGATCCAGTGCAAGTACTGCAAACCCACTACCCTTCAGCCATGAGGCATGTGGACTTCGTGCTGGAGCCTCTTCATCTCCTCCTGGTGACATTTGTGTGATGCAGTTCTGCACAACCAGGACCTCAGTGCCTTGTACCATGCCTGGCATCACTTCAAGTGAGTTTTGCTAAGGATGAATGCCCTGAGAGTAGAGCAAGCTGTATTTTAGATATCATAGAATCACAGAATATACTGAGTTGGGAAGGACCCATGAAGATCAAGTTCAACTCCTGGCCCTGCACAGGACACAATCCCACCCCATGCCTGAAAACATTGTCTAAACACTCCTTGAATTCTGCAAGTCTTGGGGCCGTGACCATTCCATAAAGAGCCTGTTCAGTGCCCAACCACCCTTTGTGGGAAGAGCCTTTTCCTGGTTTCCAGCCTAGCCATCCCTGGACACAGCTCCAGACATTTCCTCAAGTCCTATCCCTGGTCAGGAGGGTGAAGAGATTGGTTCCTGCCCCTCTGCTGTCCCTCAGGAGGATGTTGAAGTTCCCAGTGAGGTCTGACCTCAGTCTCCTGCAGCTGAACAGACCAAGTGCCCTCAGCCACTGCTCATACGGCTTCCCCTCAAGGCTCTTCACTATTCTCATAGCCCTTCTCTAGTGGCTTAATGTATTTTTTTATATTGTGATGCCCAAAACTGCCCCTAGCACTTGAGGTGAGGTTGTCCCAAAACAGAGCAGGACAATCCCCTGCCTGACCAGGAATGCTTTACCTAATGCCCTCAGAACACAGATGTCCCTCCTGGCTGCCAGAGCACTACTGACTCATGTTCAACTTGCCATGGACCAGGACTCCTGAGCCCCTTCCTGCAGCTGCTCTCCAGCCTTATTCCCCAGTCCATCCACACATCCAGGGTTGCCCTTTCCAACATGCAGAATCCAGCACTTTTCCTTGTTGAACTTCCCATGATTGGTGATTGCCCACTTCTCTAATTAGTCAAGGTCTCTCTGAAGGCCCTATCTGCCCCTGAGAGACTTGACAGCTCCTCCCAGTTTAGTGCAGACAGCAAACTTACTTAGTATTCCTTCAAGTCCTGCATCCAGGTCATTAATGTGGATGTTGAAGAGCACAGTCTTGAAGGGAGCCCTGCAAATGTCATGCTACTGGTCTGAGTTTTTTAAAAAAAAAATGTGGTTTTAACATAAGAGATGGTCATGGTGTCTTACAGCAGCTGAGCAAGTTGAGTAGCAACTTGCTCATACTCTGGATTTCCACATGAAACAGGAGAGCTCTGACCTCTGTCTTGTATGCTCGTCTCTTGTCTGAACAAACATACAAAGGATAAATCTGCTCTTCTCTGCAACTGCTCACTCATGCGAATCCCTTGGCCAGCTTATCTTGTGCAGCTATTTCCTAGTCATTCAGGTGTGTGCCAGTCCATGAGTTAAAATACATTGATCTGAGGGCAGGAACTGAGTCTCTCTGTACCAGCTTTCCCTGGATGCCTCAAGGTGTGGAGATAACCTGTGGAGAAAGCAAAGGATGCTGCTCTGCCCTCACTGTCCACAGGGATGTCCTCCCAGGGAGCCAGCACACAATAGCTCAGGTGCTATAAATTCCTCTCAGGCATAGTTCAGGTTTTCAAACATTTGGTGCTGATGCCAGTTTCGGGGCACCTTCAGAGTGCAGCAGATCAGAAGTAGCTAACAGGACCAAGCTTTATAAATAATTGCCTGCTTTTTCTACTGGCTGCAGGTCCTGGGTAACAAACTGCCCTGTCATGGTGATGTGCTTAACCCAAGCAGATGAATACTTTCTTTGATCTGAAATCTGCAGGATGTTTAATTTTTGCACTCTGATTTAATTTCTTAGAGGAAGCAAACACTGGGTTTCAGAAGGTATTTCTGTGTCTTTGACAGCAAATACCTTTTATCTCAGCTTGTTCTGTTACTTTTAGGGTGTGGTATGACAATTATTAGAATAAGTTTCATGCTTTTCAGTGGGGGTTTGATTCATATAAATCAGGCTTGCAAAAGCCTCATGTGCTTGTGTGAGCCTGGGCCACCATTAGGGAACTACTGTTTTCTGCTCCTGTTTCAAGTCTCACTAGTGCCTGCCCTTTAGTTGAAGAAGGAAAAAGCCTTGTCTGGTATTTCTTGCATTATTTTAGTTCATGAAGCATCAAGATGTGTTGTGTGTGTCATGCTGGCTGAAGTGCAATTCCCCTGTATTTTGTTAGCTGGACACTCACTGGAGTTTGACATTGTCACCTCTAGAGCCACATAGGTTATGAAATAACTGCTATCTTGAACTAGAGGAGAGAGGGTGTGCTAGTTTGAAAGCAAACCAATGGGAGATCCCAGGTCAGACTTACAATTTAGCAGGAAAATTAAAGGCAGAAAACACTGGCTTAATCTGACTGAGTCAGGATACAACCTGACACCCTGCTGGTCAGGGTGGTGGTAGCAGTTCGTTTAAACTGCAGTCCTCTTGAAGTGATAGATGTGGTTCTGTTGAAGCAGTGATCCTGTAGAAGGGTCTGGTCTTCCTCTGAAGGTTCCGTGGTGGTTATGGAGCTCTTGTCCTCTGGCAATCCAGTAGGTAAGGGCTGACTGTGGCGTTCCAAACTTCAGATTATATCCAGGCAGGAATGGTCCGCCCCTGGGCGGAGCATTTCACAATGGGATGATGTAATTTTATGAGTCATGCAGTCAGGCCTTGATGGCTCATTAGCAGAGAGATATACCCTAGAGGGAGTTACTAGGAATGTCATGGAAGATATAAAGAACACTGTCCCACCTGGTTTTAACTGCTTATAAAGATGGTGATAGAATAAATGCTTTTGGTTGCATCCTACACTGTAACCCAAGAGAAGGGGTAAAAAGCTGAGGAAATATCACTGCTGGTTTTGGAAAGCCTGCAGGAGCCTTGGAGAGATGGACCAGGAACACCCTGATTTGGGAAGCCTTGGAAGGGACTGGGCAGTACTTCCTACTGGGCATGATGAATTCCTAATTTCCGTGTCACTGTGTCATCCTGCAGGTATTGCTTTGTCTGCTACCTGAAGGCTTCTGGGTCAGGGCATTTCAGCCCTCCCTGGGAAAGGTAACCCAGGGAATCCATTCAGTCTGCACAGGCTGCAGTGCAGGGGCAATGGAAATGTGCCACTGCTTTTTTGTATATCTCTTTCTTTTAAATAATGTTGAATCAAATCAAATTATTTCGGGGGGGGGGAGAGCAGGAATCAAATAACTGGAAAGAGAATTCTTGTTGTTTGTAGTGTATTTTCTAAAGGGCCAAGAACCTTTCCAGCATCTACAGATGTAACAGGAGGAGGTAAAACTTGTCTCTTCTGAGGCACATTTGGCTTCTGCTGAGCACAAGTCCGACCCACCCCAGAAGTTCTGCAGTCGCTGCTGTGTTTTCATACTAAACCTACAAAATCTGGTTTCCTGGCAGGGCTGAGGAAGCTCTAGGTAAACCACAGCTCAAGTCCTCTGGTAGCAGGTGAGCAAGCTGAAGTCTTCCCAGCCTCTCCAGGCATGGAATCAGGCAAAAAGCCCTGTGAGCACTGGACCGCACATGACTCATGTAACCACCTCAGTGACAGACCTCCTGTGTGTTACTGGGGCCTCAGGCAGGTCCCTGGGGTCCATTCCCTCTTAGTTCCTGAAGGAAAACCTCCTCCCAGGATAGGTTTATCTCCCTGCAAGAAATATTATTGGGGTACACAATCAGCATCATCAGTGTAAATTACAGTAATTTGAAAAATGCCTTTTTAATTATCCAAAGTCTTGTAAGCAGTGCAGGAAAATATGTTTTTAATTATAAACATGATTTATGTAAAGTTGATGGACTCCCCTTTAAATTCATACTCCCAAATGGGAGAAAATGAAGGCTTACTTGTTTGTACTTTCAAGGCTATATCCCAGTTGCCTGGTTTTAACTTGGGCTTCAAGTAAAAGCTTGCAGCCCTGTGAGCCTGGAGCCATTGAAGTGGCTTTTTGCCTTTCTTAATGCTCTTAGTTCTGCTGAAGTATTTAAGCAGTCACGCAGGAGGGCCCATGCTGGGCAGACATGCTTTTGTTTTGTATCCCCTTCGTGGTGTTGAGAAAGCAACAAGTTAATGGCCTTGAACTGAACCAGGCCTCCTACAGACAGATACTGTTTTGAGCTTCCTTAACTAATCACTGCCAGCTCCTGTTCTCTCAGAAGCTCTGGGTCTCCTATCACTCCAGGCCTTGCCTCCCACACAGCTCTGCTCAGGTACCTTGGTCCTGACTTGCAGCAGTTCCTGCCATTCCCACCTTGGGCCTGCGGAGCAGGCTGGGTTGCTCAAGCTTTCCAGCATGTTCAAAGGAAATCTCCAAATTGGCTTTTACCATGCTGAAAAGACAAGTGCTGTTAGTGTTTTGGGGTTTTTTTCTCCCCTCTTCCTTCTTAGCACAGTGATGTTAACTCTAAAGCCTTTCTGAGTGTTTCTGCTCTGGTTTTCTTCCCAGCATTCCAAGTCTTGTGGTCTCTGGCTTATGGGCAATGCCAGCGTGGCCTGATGAACCTCCCAAGCAGAAGGGATGATTTCATAGTTCTTCACATGCACTGCCCCAGCGATCTTGGAGCCAGTCATTGTTACACTTTGGAAAATCTGGTCCTGGCTCTTGCCAGAAGATGGTGGATTTCCTTGGAGATTCATAGAATGTTTTGGCTGGAAGGGAACTTTATCATCACCTATTGTGACCCCTCACATAATCCTTTCATGTAGGGATGGTGCCATCAAGCCTGTGACTTGGATTTGGACTTGGAGCTAGTCCTTCAGAAAGGACTTTGATCCAGCCAGGATTTGCCTCCCCAGGTACATCATTCTTCTCAGAGTGTTGCAGTTTCACAGATAGGCTATGAATTGGGAGGCAGGAGGGAGCAGGGGAGGTGATGTGAGCAAGGGGCTGGGGGGTATTTCTGATGCTGTCACTTCAAAATTAAGTAAATTGTAAATTCCACTGCAAATTGGAGCTTTCACAGGATCTTCCTGACAGCACAGCAAAGTGAGAACAGCAGTCATCCATAGTGATTTGGATTGTTACAACAGTGGTCATCAAATTCTTTTGACCAATGGCATGTGAGATCAGACACAATTATCTTCTCTCCCAAATAATTCTGCTCTGCCTTTGGGTATGGCACCACCATTTCTAACCTGCAGTGAGTTCTAGAGCTCTAGGATTAATGAGACCTGATTATTTTCAATAGAAGAGAGGTGTGAGCAGAGGGAACCTCCCTGTACACACACCAGCAGCTTTTGGCACTGCATCATAATGAAAACTGGAAGAGCTTCTTGCTGTCATTGGCATTGGGATGAGCCCTAGCTTGTCCCCACTGGGTTGCCTACAGGAATTGCTGACCCAAACTGAACTTAACTGTTTTTCCTGAGCACTACTGAAAGATGCACAGGTTTTACTGCCTAGAAGTGAGGATGGGGCTGCAGGGATCAAGTTATGAGGTTTGGGGACCATCCTTCCATCTCTGTAAACACAGATAAAGGGAAACTGAGTCATGCAGTTTTTGTTCTGATCAGTCAGCAGGATCTGATATCTCAGTCAGAGAAGTGCCAACGTTTTTGGTTTGTTGCCATATTGGGGAAAATAAGTCCATGAGGGAGAATGCCACAATCAGGACCATTTTTGCTGTTGTAAATATTTCTTTTCCTTGATGGGGGTGCCTGGCACCCATCCTTGTGTGTAGATAATAGCTTCAACAGAAGTTCTGATTTTAACTGTGTTTCAGGGCAAGATAGAAATTACCAGAAAAATGAGGATTAGGAGGATTTTTTTTGAAGGCCCTCCTGCAAAGTGAGGTGCTCTGGACGAAAATGAGTTGTTAGCTCTGTGCTTAACCAGCAAAGCTCTGGAGTTCATGCTTTTAGCTCTCACTGAAGGCAGTAACTGCCTGTATGTAACTGCCTGGCTGAATGGGAGCTTGTGTTGCTTAAAAAGTGGGACACATTGCAGGAAATTACCTTTGGAGGCAGGAGTGCTAATCTGAGCTAAATAGGATCCAGCAGGAGTCAGAAGAGCATGAGCCAGGCCTGGACAGTTGGCTGGAATACAGGCAGGGAAAGGCAAGGGAATCTGAGTCATGTGTGCCTCTGCTTTTCCCTCTTGCCCAGGGATTGTATGGCATGGCAGTTGTCATGCCAGTGAAGGTTGTTATTCTTGGTCTTTGACCTGCAGTGGGATGAGCAGGAAATGGCAGCAGTTGGAAAGCAGTGATGGCAAAGCTCACTGGCACCTGCCAGCAACTCCCAGCCTGTTGGTTGTTTCCAGGAAAGAAGAAAATCCTGGTGAGATTTGGGCCCTGCTGTCCTAAACTGTGCTCTCTGTTGTTAACCCCAAAAACCCCTCACTGCAAGCACCAGCATAGCATGGGAACAGCATCCTGATTTTGGGGTGGAGTGTGACTGCTGTATTCAGGTTGTCTTTGCTGTCCAAAGGACCCTTGTAGCTCTTGCAATTTCATGCTGTGTGGAAGTTAGGGAGTTCCAGGGGACTGCCAAATCTTTGGAATATGAAATATACATTCAGCTCTTGTGAAGCAGGAAGCTGCTGTTGGCAGTCCCTGGTTGCAGGGGTCAGGCCAACACCTCTGTGCTGTATGTTGACCACAAGGGGGTCTGCTCAGGTGTAAGGAGAGAGGTACCACCCTTCCGCAGGGTCACTGGGTGTGGCTTTCCTAATTTGGAGATTAAATTGCCTGATCTCCCTTCAGACTCCTTCATCCCTGGGACCAGACTCAAGGCATGCTGCATATCCCCCTCACCTGGGGAGCAGTACCTGGGCAGGGCAACTTCACTGCAATCTGTAATTACACAGCCACATGGCTTTTTCCCCATTCGCTGCCAGTGGTGGATGTGAAGAGGTCAATGGAGGTTACACAGAAAACTAAATCTGGCTTTTCCACAACTGAAGGTGACTTCTTCCCTACTGAGATGAGCCTTGTTAGGAAGGTTGGAATGTATTTGCAGACACTCACAAAGAGGCTGAATATACTTAGAAAAAAGTGTGTGCAGTAGCTCTGGCTTTATAATAAGATGTTGATTTAATTTTCCTCTTACTCAAATCTCAGAGCAGTTTATCTAATTAAGGCTTTCCAAAGCCTGTAAGGTAGAGTGTTATTATATGTAACAACTGAGGCACGAAATCAGACCGGCAGGGAATCTGAATTGTTTATTCAAAGAAACAAGCTGGTTTTATTCACGTTTTCAAGGCACAGTATTTCCTTACATGGTAATTCTCACTAAGCGACCTATCACACCTCACACATCAGCAACACGCTTTCTTCATATCCTTCTCTGGGATCACGCACTGTTCACCTGTCTGTCAGCTTTGGGCAGGCTCCTCTCTGCAGGGCTCTGCCACGTGGCACCTGCTGTCCCCAAGGTCAGGCAGAGACAAGCCTCTCTGCTGCCATGTGCTTCTTTGTGCTCCGATGTGCTTCTGCAAGTGCATGCCACAGCCTGCAGCTCAACTCCATCCCATCTCTTCCCACAATTATGCCCGTTTTATGCAGGAGAAAGAGAAGCAAGTGGCAAACCAGGTTGAAAATAAAGTCCTCTTGTATTCTAGGAATCCAAGAGTGAGCGAGGGCAGGGAAGGATTTGCTGGCACTTCCAGGAGAATCACATTGGTTCATGTGCTTGCAGAACTAGCAGATGTTTCCCGTACTGTGTGCTTTGGGATCGCAGAGGTGTTCCTTTCCTACTTGTGAGATTTCGTTCCCTCGGCTGGACCGTTGCAGGTGGCTGCACAATTCCAGGTGCCTGCACACAGCTGCCTTCCTCCTCCAGCAGCAGGACACGCGTTCTTGGATCAGGGCTCTGAGGCTGCACGTGGCTTGATGCTTCTTTGCAGGCTGAGAGACCTGGATGCTTTCCTACTGGGTTTGGGTATCAGAGCCTCCCTAGTGGGATACCTGAAGGTGTAGACAGAGGGAGGGGCAGGAACAACTTCCATTGTGTGGGAGGGTGGAGGCTCTCGGAATGGCCTCAGGAAGGAGTCAGGCAATGGCATGTTATCTTTGAGGTACTCAAATACCAGTTTTCTCCCTAAGGAAAATGAGGAAAGACACTAATGTTCTTAGTGTGGCAGAAACCCTACCCTTAATAGGTAAGAATCTGCACAAGGGTGACATGTTTTCAATGCCCCAAGCCTAGAAAAATCTTCATTGGCAGCTTGTGCCTCATTAGGTCTAACAGAACCTTTTTTGCAGACAAGGGTTGACCTCTTCAGGATGTGATGCCTGGAGCTGACATCATCCCCTGGTGCTAAAATCTTAAAAAGCCTGTTGAGTGTTGTATTCTTCTTGTGGGTTTTGGTTTGGGTTTTTTTTTCCCCCCAGTGTTGTAAAATGTTTGGATTTGAGATCACTCATGCCAACTTTTACCTTTTAAAGGTTCAGGCTATTTGTTTTTTTTCTCCAGTCCTCAGCTGCCTGTGTCAAAGTATCACTGAGGAATCTCAGCTCTTCTTTTGTGTACCTTGTATCAGTAGATTTCCGACCTTGTGGCAGTACAGAAATACTTGGGAAAATGCAGTTAGTGTATTCCACAAGCCTGGAAAGCAGAGACAAAGTCACCAAAAACACATTAAAAAGATCAGAATCTTGACTTCTGACATTTTATCTTTTCAAAATTGAAGGCAGAAGGAATTTGTTATCTGCTCTGTTAAAATCTCTAAAAAATCTTACCCAATTTTGGTCTAATCTAACCTGTGGGTTAGCAGAGGCTATGGTGTGAAGGCAGGGTGCAAGCAAAACTTGCTGCTGTTTTGTTGAGTGTCCTGTGCCTGTGGGGGGGAGCTCCATGCTCCAGTCAAATCCAGGGACAAAGAAAATGGCTGTGGCAGTGGAGTTGTTCTTCAAAACATGATACAAGTGCTGTGTACTAGGGATATTACTGACATCTGAGGAGGCTGAGATAAGAAGAGAGCTACCACAGCAATGCAGAGGCATTAACGCTGGAGAGCAGGATGTGCACAGGAGCAATTTGGCAGAGCTGATGGTGGAGGAGAGCTGGCTTGTCCCCATGGATGAGATAATATTTGGTCAGCCATGTACATACTCTGTTGCTCATAACCAGCTCCTCTGAAGGGAGGAGGGGTACCAGAGCTCAGGGCCTCTGAAAAAGTTAAAGAAAACAGAATAGTTTCATGCATCGCTCCAGGTGTGGGTTGGAAGGAGGAGTTTTCCTGCATGAGAATTCTTGGAGGCCCAAATAGTCTTTTCTCTTGCTGGGCCAGAACATGAAACACACAGAAGTTGTTCCCTAACTGTAATACAATGGGGAAATCAAATTGAGGTCAACAGAGTCTTGATTTCTAACCTTGTACCTCAACACCTTGAGTTTTGAAGCTTTATAAGCTTTTAGAAGTAGTGTCTTGGAAGTTGACATTAGAATTTTTAATCGGATCAAAAAATTTCCTGTAGGAAGTGATGAACTATTTCCACATTCCAGCCACTTCGAAGAGCAAACCTTTCCTGTAAGAACAGAAACAAGCTGACTGTTTCTGACCAGAAGCACATTCCGATAAGTTGGCTTTTCTTATTTTAAAAAAACCCAAAAAAGAAAACCAACCCACACCTAACAATTAAAAAAAAACAAACAGTCCACCAATTCTCTGCTGAGTCCAAACCTGGGGGATCAGCTCCCAGGCAGAGAAGATAATAAAAAAATAGTCCAAGTGTGATGTGTCAACACTGATAATTATATTTTTACCTGAGAGATCTTTGCTGTTCCAGGGAGCCCAATCTCAGATGCTCTGGCACAGCACAGTTGGAAGTGTTGTACCAGGCTGGGCTGTGCAGTGCATCCCCTTTCAGAGCTGTGTCCTGATGGAATGTAGGAGGAGAAAGTTCTGAGATCACTGATCACTGGGAAATTTATCCAGTAACTTCCTTCCTACTGTTATCTGACAAAGTTGTCTAAAATCCCTTGTACCTACCTCTACTCTGCTGACAACAAGTGGAATCCTTAAAGGCTGCTCTGAAATTCCTGCTTACAGCCAGAAATACAGTTGAAACTTGTTGATTCCTTCCCTCTCTGTGCCACAAAGGGACCAGCTGCCATGTCTGGTGTGAGGTGCAATTTTGGCATCTTGGAAAGGAAACTTCATCTGGAAGTGTTGCTCTGAGCTGTTTCTCAGAGGATGAAGGTGGAGAGGACCATAGTTCAGTGTGCAGCAGATGAGCGTCAGGAAGGGTATGACTACAGCAGAGGATGAGCTGCTGGACATCCAGGAGCAGAGCCCTTGGACTGCAAAACACAAGGGCTGCCCTTCCAGAATGTGCTGAAGTGGATGTGCCCCAGTCCTGAATTTGAAAGTGAGAAGAGAAATCTCAGTTATTCCAGAGGAATGCAGGGCAGGAGAGGGGGAGTCAGGAGGAGGATGGTGCAACCTCAGTCTATCTGTTCCTTATCAGATGTCACCAGCTCCTGTTCCTGGCAGAGCCCAGGACTGTGGCCACAGGTCCTCTTACAGGCCTGGAACTCAGTGGTACCTCAAGGGATGTCTTGGAAAACATTCCTGGCTGCAGTGGATTCTTCAGGAGGTTCTCCCTGGGAATTTGGTCCTGCCAGAAGGAAGGAGAAGAGGGGCATTGGTCTGTGATTTCAGTGAAAATGACAGTGAGCAAACAACCATTGGGAAATGACAGAGGTTGTGGCTGGTTGCCCCATCCCTGAAAGTGTCCAAGGCCAGGTTGGATGGGGCTTAGAGCAACTAGGTCTGGTGGAAGATGTCTCTGCCCATGGTAGGAGGTGGGATGTGATGGGCTTTGGGGTCCCTTCCAACACAAACCATTCTGTAATTCTATGACAGCAAAAGTTTCTTCTGGTGGCTTACATGGAAATACTGATGGCATTGTGATACCTGCCATTGCAGTCCCTGGCAATGCATGGAGAAGGAGGAAGAAGTGCCTCATCCAGCACTGTCCAAAAAGCACAGGAAAAATTAGACTGAAGTGTCCTCCATCTCCCCTAAAACACAAAGGTGGGGTACAGTATCATAGATTGGGTATTACTGGTGTCCAGTTCCTGCCCGGCACTCTGAGGGGGAGAACTGCTCCCTTTGTTTGTGTTTGTGTCCTAGGGTGTTTCTAAGGGCTGTGAAGGGGAGTCCAGAAGAGCTGGGGGGTTCAGTAAATCAGTCCCTTTATTGGGTGTAAAAGTCCCCACAACTTCTCCTCTCTCCACCCAAAATCAAACTGAAGTGCACAAATTAAATTTAAACCTCCTTGAACAATGTTCACTGCAAGTGGTCCTAATTAACGTTCCCTAAATGGCTGTAATTAGCTACCAGCTGATGGAATATTTACTCCAGGATTTTTTCTTAAAAAAAACCAAAAACCCACAGCCCAACACAGGCACAAAACACTATTTATCTAATTATTTATGTTACAAATTCCTGCCACTGGTCGTGCTGAAAATGTGCCTTACAGAGCAGGAGCTGAAACCGGAGTGGCTCTTGTACTGTAAAAAAAACAGATTAAAGCATAGGAAAAGCAGCTTGCACAAGCAGGCAGCACTCCCAAAGCCATTTGCTGCACTGACTTAACAAAGTATGATAAATTAGCAATTTTAAAATAACACAACTTCCCCCCTCACCTTGCAGGAGCGGTTTTGCTGTGATGCTGTGTCGGCTCCTCTCTGTATCCCTTTTGCCAAACTAGTCAGTTCCAGTTCGGTCATAAATCGCTCGATGTCATGCAGTAAAGGGGAGGTGACGGATGTCCTCCAGTGTTCCCAGCCCTGGCGAATCCTTTATTGAGCTCTAGGAACCTCCACCTCCATTGCTAATCCACGCCTGCCTCCCCTTGGACAGGCCTGGTCACTTCCTTTCCCAACAATCCTCTCCTGCTTGTTTGCTTTTTGGAAAGCTGATTCAGCCTTGCAGCGAGTGGGTGCAACACCCACAGTGCTTTGGGTCCTGCCCCCGCTGCCTGCAATGAGCCAGCCAAGTGAACTGTGATGGAATTGCTTCATTCCAACCAGGACAAGCCCTGTCTTAATTTTGGGGGCTGTTTTCCCAACTGTGTTGGCAGCTTGGCCTTGGAAGGTGAGAGTGGACTGTGTGTCATGAGGGCTTTTGAGGTGCCCGAGTTGTTTCTCACGATACCCATGTTGGATCAGCTCCTAACCAGGGGCCTAGCCCATTCCAGGTGGTAGGGATGGAGTGGGGGCGCGTTGGGGGTGCTGAGGTGCCCTTGCAGCCTCCGTCAGGGGAATGAGAGTGGTTTGGGGGGTGAGATTGCTCATGGGTGTGTAAGATGGAGACTGGAGAGAAGGTGAAGAACTAGGGGGTGCATGGATGTCATACCTGCACCTCCCCTCTGGGGCATCCTGGGGCAGAGGGTAGGTCAACCTCTGCTCCCCTGGTGGTGACATGTCCCTAGGACTGCCTTGCCCCCATCCCCGAGCCCTGGTGAGATCTGACCCCCTCCTTGTGCTAGTCACTCCCCAGCACCCACTGGCCTCCCTAGGACCCTGACCCTTGCTGCCCCACCACCTGTTATCACCCCCTGCCCTGGTCTTGCTAACCCTCAGCCTTGACCTCAACCCAAGGCTGGATTCGACCTCCACCTTGTGCCTGCCCCCTCATCCCTCCACAACCCCCATAGTCCATCTTGACATTCTCTTATGCCCCAGGCCTGTGTGACCACCCTCCATACCTCCTGCGCCCCCCAGCCTGCCCTGACCCCCAGGCCTTCTGACATCGCCTTGTGCCTACCACCCTCAGCCCCCACACATGGGACTCTGACCCTCTGCTTCTTCCCCACATGTGTGACCCCTCCCAATGCCCCCCAAACCTGTCCCCATCCCGAAGCTTGATCTGACCTGCCCTTGAGCCTGCTGCTCTCTCAGCCCCCTGAGCCCCATGGTCCATCCTGAGCCCTTGCTGCTCCCCCAGACCTGTGTGACACCTGCCATGCCCCCTACCCCCTCATACCTGCTCTGACCCCTAGGTCCTAATGATGGGCAAAACTCCCCCCCGATCCCATAGGACTCTGACCCCCTGCTGCCCTCCCCCCC